GTTGCTGCTTTCAGGGAACAGAGGTGTAGGCAACTAAAGCTTGGGCCACACCATGACTCACCGTTCCCGAAGTTCGGTATCCTCCATTGTCACTGCACGGCTTTGCCAGACGGCAAACCCTCCCGCAGCAGCGTGAGCCACGGCATGCCAACTCAGCCACCAGCATGCCCAGCTGGGGATGATGGTGGCACGGAGGCTACCACGCCTGTCCCCCTAAGGAAATATCCATCAGCTGGATCATTTTTCAGACAAGAGGGGCACGTTTGCTTCTAAGGTTCGAGAGCACAGGCTGCTGCAGCCACAGGCTCTTCGCCTCTCCCCATCAAATGGTGGGAGCAGGTCTGGGATGGCCTGAGCCTGTGGCGTGGGCAGGATCCTGTAAGCTGTGCCAAACAAGGGTTTGTTGCCCAGAGTTTTTCTCTGAAAGAGAGTTCCTGGCTTTATCACCATGTGGGAAATGCATCCTTTAATGCAGACATTGGTGATACAACGACCACATCAATGATTCTCCCTAAGACCACTTACCTGTGGGAACCCGAGTGAGTCATGACCAAAAGTCAAGCACCCATTGCCTTTCTGAAAACCAACGCTGCTGGGTTTTGTTATACACTGCCCAGTGCAGCACGCTTCACCCGCTGCCTCGGTGCCCATTTTCATTGCCAGAGCTGGTTTCCACTGTTAGCTTTGCCCTATGGTATCTATACGTGCTGACCGTGAGTCTATACAGGTCAAAGTTGAGATACCACTGGAAGAAAGTCCTCACCACCCCCTGTGCAGAGCAGCTGCACTGCTGGCCCAGGACTGTGCCCATCCACAGCTGCACCCTGTGGCTGCTCAGCAAGGTCACCCTGTATCCAACTCATCCCAAAAATTCAGTTTTTCCCTTTGAAACTGCGCTGTTGCAGATTCCCCCTGGCTCCAACCAGCTGTGGACAATGGCAGAGCCGCCCTGCCCGGTTCCTGCGTGCCCCGAGATAAAACTCGTTCCTTGGTGTGGGGAGCCCAGCCTTGGCGGGGTTCAAGGTTGGGGAGGTGGGGTTGTGTACAGGAACTGCAGGAGGAGGCATAAGAGGCTGCTTTGATGTCTGTGCAACGTGCACGCACACGTGCGCACCAGGCCGGCTGCATGCAATTGGTTTCTACAGAGCCAGTAATGCCGGCTGTAATGGACATGCTGCAGCAAAGCCCCTACAAGAGCCACTGCGCTGGCGTAGGGAGGGGGAAGTTCTCCTTTCACAGCTAAACACACCACTTTTAATCCCTCTGCCGATTCCCAGATCCGTAAACACGGAGCCACAATTGGTTACAGATGTACCAGCTTTGGACAAAACCAATGCCTCCTCTGAGCTGGTTTGCAAATCTCTGCACCTTCCCAGGCATGTGCATGGGTTTGTCCCTGCTTCATTAACCCCTGCACGCCAATGCCCTGTGGAGGACTGAAGGCAGAGTTTGAGCACCTCTGGTACCTGTTAAGTAAAGGCTTAAGTAAAGAAAGGCTGTGCCTGGAGGCTGCTGCCCTGCAACACCCTCACACGGAAATGCTCTTGGAGGAGCAGCTCTCGAGAAAGCCGCCCCTCCACGGCCCGCTCCGTGCAGACCATTGCCACTGTCCCCGGCCGGTGGGAGCGGAGCAGCTCAGCCACGAGCGGATCTATTTTGGTCTCCGGGGAGAGGGCCCATGCTCCAGAGCAGCAGCTCTGATTTCTGTCTGCACCGCGGTTTCCAAAATGCCAGTGCCTGCGGTGGGCCCAGCCCGGCCAACCCTGGCTCTGCACCTGCGTGTCCGTGCAGTGAGCTTCACTCTCATTTTTTTTGTTGTGTTTTTTCAATCACAAAAATTTTTACCCTGAGTTCGAGCTACCCCGCAGTGCCAATGGTGGCAGCTCTCCTGCCACACCACGTTAAACTCTCCAAAGGTTTTCACATGGCCCATGCTTGGCTGTATCCATGGCTCTCGCCGGCTCGGCTGACACGGTGCTTTCAATCAGCCTGCTGCAGACTGACAGTGGCTCCCTGGCTGCTCATGAGCGTTTGATGGTGCTTGTGGGTTATCGCCCCAGATCATGACGGCTTTTAAAAGAGATGGAAAAAATCAATCCTTGCGCCTGCCTTCCCTAGCACTCATTTCTCTCTCCACCCCTTCTGCAGACCAAACCCGACCCGCGCTTCAGAGCTGCCGAGAGATCCTCATTAAAAGGATAAAGATATTTTCGGTGACACAGATCTGCCTGGCTTAACCCACTCGGCAGGGCAGGACGCGGGTGACAGGCAGCCACAGCCTTTTGGGGACACACCGAGCTCCATGGCACTGTTAGGAGGTGGCCTCAGCCCAAGCAGCTCCATCACTGCAGACCCGGTCCCCTCCGGGGTCTCCTGGAGGGCGATATCACCTGCAGCGATGCTGTCCCAAGATGCTCAGTTGTCGAACGCATGGGACACTTAAACTGCAGAAGAAACCCACCAAAGATGATTTTGCAGCTCAAAGTGCTCTTGCAGCTTAAATGATATCCCCTGCCATTCAAAAAATGTCTGACACTGCCTGTAAGGGAAGGTGGGACCGCTGCCCCGAAGGGGTGGATTGGACGGGCAGAGAGAGGAGACCTCGGCCCCAGTGTCCTTGTATTTGGATTTTGATTTTTGCATGTGCTGCGGCTCACTGTCACTCTCAAGCGCTTTCTGTCCCCGGGGTGGCGGGCACCCCTCAGCCGTGGCAGTTTTTAGCCAGTGGGTTTTCACTCTTCCTCCCACCGACCCCCGTGCAATACTCGCCCAGGCGAGCCATGGCAGGAGCCACGGCAGCGCTCTCGCGCCGCCGCCTCTGCACGCACCGCCGTCGCTGCGCCGCGAGCGCTCGTTTTCATCGGGGTTTTTTTGTTTTTTCGAGGTTGACTACATAACAGCGTCGCTAGCAAGCGCCAGATGTTGCCGAATGCCCCTCGGCGGCCCGTAGTGCAGCTGGGGAAGGGCTGGCAACATGACCCGGATTAGGGCAGCTTATCCCCATGGCCAGCCGCTCGTCGTATCTCTTCGGCCCTCGGCCCTGACAGACTGACGGCCACCCGCCCCTTCCCCCACCCAGGGGCGCCCCGCACGCGCTGCCCCAAAGGAACGTCCCCTGGGCACCGCCAACGCCGGCGTACCGAGATACGCGCACCGCAGCACAGGGCGAATATGTCCTAATCCTAATGCAAAACGGCCTACATTTACGAAATGAGCTACAGCGCGCTCCTGGCTGTGAACGCGACACCTCAGCCCTGGCTGGAATGCAAACACCCCCATGGTTTTAACGTTCAGTACATGAGACCTTCTCCACGCCTACCAGTGCATGTGCCTAATAAGCTACATTTATATATCATATGTATTTTAATATATAATATTGCTTTATAGATACTTATATATCTTTGTCATGCACATTTATCTATAAATTATTTTAAAATAACATATATAAGAGCATAATGCATATAAAAGCGCATGCATATATAAAACATACAGACATAGACCATGATATAGAATCATAGAATGGTTTAGGTTGGAAAAGACCTTTAGGACCGTCGAGTCCAGCCGTTAGCCTAGCACTGCCAAGTCCACCACTATGGACGTACATGAAACAGTACACAGATATAAAGTAGATACATACGAAATGTACGTTTAGAAAACATTCTATATATAATACTCTTTCTATATATAATGTTCGCTATATAGAACCATATATAAGATTATATATTTGAAACATACATTTAGAAAACATTCTGTATGTAATATTGTCTCTCTGTATAATGCTCTCTGCATAGAACCAGATATAACATTATAAACATATTCTGTACGTTTTCACGATGTTCTATATTTATCTGTGTGTTTAGATTCTGCATGTTTCTATAGATGGGATATAACTTTGTGATACACAGATACCTAAAGCACACTGATACGCGTACACAAACGCGCCTGTGTAAATATTTATATCGCTTCTCTCGGTAAATGGAATACAGCGGTTATGGATGGAGGCGGCGCCAACCCCTCGCTGGCCCCGCCCCCGACGGCCCC